AAATATAAAAGGACAACGGACGGTTTCTGCAAGGAAATGATCGCATATATTTTTGAGAAATATTCGTAATATCCATTCGTTATTTAATTTGTAATTTTTCTGCGCCTTAAAAGTTGATTGTAGACTACTCTGCAGACGGTCTTTCTTTTGTATTACTAATATATGTATAGTTTTAGACTTAACGGGGTTTAATATTTTTCATTAACCTTTTTAATTATTACCAAAAAGGACTTTGTTTAATTTTCAAAAAAACTGACCATTATTAATAGTTATGCGCCAACTATTTCTGGCCACTTTGTATATTGCACGGTCCATGTCATACTGGCTAGTCCATTTGCATATTGGACAATTTACAAATAGACAATGAGACCGGGTCTATTTATAAATTGGCCGGCCATTTTATAAACGGACCAGTTTTCCAAATTGGTCACAACATATATATATTGATATAATATCTAGCCCAGGCGCATATATCGTTTTTCTTTTCTTTTTCGCCTTCCTTTATCGCATTTTGTCTCTGTTTAATATAATAAACATTCCAAGGGCGACCATATATGTCTTTTGAGCGAAACAAGCCCATAATTGTAGAGAACCTTTTTAATTTTCACAGTATTTTGAGCGTGTCTGAAACTTTTTTACTCGAGAAAAGTCGCCAACTCACAAGTGGATAGATCGGACATTTCACGAACAATCGCAGCGGTTAGATCTTTCAAGAACTATCGGTAAAGCAGTAGAAAAAGTTCAACATCGACATAAAAATGGATTCAAATAAGGAAGGCAAGACATAAGACTGTTCCTTGTGTCTCAAACAATTCATATTTCCATTTATCTTTCGTTTACTTCAATTTTCCCTCAAAATCATCAACTTTACAATCTCCTAGATAAGTCTGCTGAATTCTTGACAGTGCCGTCGTATCATGTCGAGCAATCGAAAAGATTTACGGACAGGCAACTTATTGTGCTCTACAAACTGGCATGGTGGAAAACTGATGTTGAACAAAACCCTTTTTCGTTCGAAGATCTGTTTTTCCAGAAACCTAAAGGCAGCTCCGACTATCACCGTCGATATCAGCACTCGTCGGTTACCTATAGTCATGATTTTGATAGAAAAAGCGATTTAACACATGGAAACAATCCCTCGTTAAGTTTTATTGTTTGAGTATTCGTTTACTAAAAAATCCTATGAGTCTTCTTTAACAAGATTTCTGCAGTGTAGATCTACGCTAGGACTTTCGAAAGTGTACCACGCCTTACATCGGCTTTATGCTAATAGCAGAAATCTTGAGGGAAGATCTTAAAGTGGACCATTCAGATTCTAATGAAACCGATCTAGGTACGATAAAGTTGTTCGGAGGTAAATTTTATTTTATTTTTAGTCATGTCTTATTCGAAAGAACATATAAAATAGCCGCTAACCCTGCAATAACTCTTTTTGAAAGTTCTTTTTTCTAAAACTAGAGGCCAGCCACTCTACTGAGGGTTAGTCTTGTTACTAAAAAACATGTATTTTCACAAATTTTCGTATTTTCCGGTTTTCTCAAAACCAGATTTACCAAATCCTTATGATTGGTTTTATGTAGTTAGCTTCATTTTTATTTCAAGTGCAAGAACTTTTTCTTTTGTTTTGCCTTCAGAAGAGACGAAATACCGAGCCTTATTTTCTGTCATTTTGTAGCAGCTGGCCTGCCATTGTAAAAGTACTAGGGCAAGCTTTGACTATCAGCACTTATACTACTCGAGCTGCGCATTCATATGGTATATTAAACGTCGATGTTAACTCTATTGATGTAGAGAAAAACAAGATCAAAGTTGCTCCATTGTAAGAGAGCGCGAAACTTGACATCCCTGAAAAGGCGTGAAGAATATGACTGTTTTAGCAAACAAATATGGGATTGTATGTAACCTTTTATGCTCTACAGGAGAACAGTCTTGAAATATTTGTTGTTGTTATGTCATGCAATGGTGGGCGGAGCGAAATGGAAGTACACCAAACCTTTTACTCTTTACTCTGTTAGAAATACATCCTTCCTTTGAAGACCACATCCCAAAAACTCAACCGTGAAAAAACCACCAAGAAAAGCTAGATGTCATGTTTTTCGTACAGACCCTTGATGCTATTGTCAAGAATGCTGTTCGACTAATTTGATCGAATTTCGAATTCCAATAACATAATGGTGGTTAGATGGTAATGACTTCAATGCTATCTGCAATGCTTTCCCCAATTGTTCCAGAGCTTCTTTGTGATTTCCTTGCTCACTGTAAAGGCTACCGATGCTCCAAAATGCTACAGCAATATCTGGATGATATTCAGGTAATGATTTCAATCGAATTTCAAGTGTCTTTTTACAATAGTTCAATGCTTCAACATAATTGCCCTGATTCGAATAAACTAATCCCATGTTGTTGTATGTTGTTGCAATCGAAGGATGATTTTCAGGTAACGATTCCAATTGAATTTCAAGTGTCTTTCTATAATAGTTCAATCCTTCTACATAATTGCCTTGATTCGAATAAACTAATCCCATGTTGTTGTATGTTGTTGCAATTGAAGGATGATTTTTAGGTAATGATTTCAATTGAATTTCAAGTGTGTTTTTATAACAATTCAATGCTTCAACATAATTGCCTTGATGAAAATGCACACCACATATGTTGTTGTATGTTGTTGCAATCGAAGGATGATTTTCAGGTAATGATTTCAAGAATAGTTCATTGTACTCTTGTGCTTTGTCGTAGTGTCCCATGTTTAACATCAAAGCTCCTAATGCAAATAAATCACTTCCTTCTCCTATATCCTTTCTCATATGATTCCTCAGGGTTTGCAGTTGCTGATCTCCTTCGGCAACTAGTTTTAGACCAATACTCCAACTTCTACTACCTGTTTGTTGAATTGAGTGAATGCGAAATACTGTACCCATTGAAAAGAGAACTTCGTTTTCACTTGGATAAAAGCTCAGATTTTGAATATTATGAAATGGTTTATGACAGGTTTTAACATCAACCTTCATTTCAAACAGAATTCCCTGATTGGCAGGACTTTTTGATAGCGCTTGGTCGACAAATACAAGTGCTTGCTTCTTTTCTGTACTTGTCGACATAAAATGATGCATTGATAAGAGACCGCCTGTTGTACATTTCTTCAGTTCCTCAAGAGACATACCTTGTCCTCTATAAACAGTCATTACTTTTATAGATGTTGAATGAATAAATTCCGAATGGAATTGCTTTAATTGATCATGAAGATCAGTTATGAAAAATCTTAGTTTGAATAGAGTACCGATGTCTAATGTTCGTAGTGCATTATTTAACATTCCATATAAAAAGCAGTTACGTGTATACCACCAGATTGCTTTACCAGGGGCATATGTTTGGAATTCTCGAATATATTCTAATTGTTCTTCATTGTCTTTATATCGTTCTTGACATAGATCGATCATTTCTTGTTTTGTATCATCTGTATGTTTCATGTTCAACAATATATCGACTAAAAGTTGAAACCACATAAATGATGGATCTTGTTTATTTATTTCTTCTGCTGAACTGATAGCACTAAATGGCAATAAGTCATTCGTACATGAATTCACATCTTCACCTAATTTATCACAAATTGAATCGATATCAGAAAATGCACCAACTATTTTCTTGTATTTATTTGTCCATTTTTCATGTTTCGCTTTATCAAAACAAAATACATAAATTAGTTCAATTTGTGTTAGTGCATGAACTTGAGGAACGACAATTTGACCAACTGCACCACTTACAATTAGAAAGATTTTTTGGTTTTGGATCGATGATATGTAATTAGAACATTGATCAGGATTATCAAATGTTTTCAAATTGTTATTAACCACACGCCGTAATTGAGTTAGTGTGTTTGAATTGTCATTTGTTTTCTTATCAATATGCGCATCGAGCCATATAATCTCGAAACACTCTAAGCTTCTCTGTTGGTGAACTCCCCTATCTTGCGGATGAGAATCTGTTTTTGTGGTTATAGAGACCTGGGTTAAGTTGGCGCCGATCGAACAGCCCATGGTTGATCAATATATAAAATAGCTGAAAGGAGAGAGAGAATGTTACTGAGAGACTTTATAATGATGTTATTAGAATAAAGTGTAATATAAGTGGAAAATTATTTTTGTTGAAGAATAACAACCGTTTTAGGACAATCTTCATAGATCGAGTCAACTATGCATCTGTATGCCTCTGCTTTTACTTTATCCTCTAATGAACTAACCTCTTGGGAAAACATCTAATGGCGAAAATTCGAGAGATTTCAATGTCAAATGTAACTTCAAAACTGTAGATTTGAGATGAAAACTTGCAAAACATGATCAAAAAAGAGTTAAGAGCAAAAAAGGAAGTGTACTGTGATAATTTTGTGTGCTAATCTGTAGAAGACCAAGACCACTGGTCTTCTATTATGTCCGCCAAAACAGTTAGAAAATAGTGAAATTTTCAAAATAATTTCGCCAAAATGTACTTCTAATAGAGGATGGACTTGAGTACGTTGGGACTACCGCTGCACTACTAGCACGCGACAAAATTTGACCGCAATAGAAGACCACCCTTTAGAATTCGACTTGCGGGACAAAATACAAGACCAGGTGGTCTTCTAGTACGGGGGTGAGGCTAACGATCTGTATTGGGTTGGCGTCTATCGCAGAGCCCAACCTATGGTTGCTCAGTATAAAATGGCTTAGAATGAAAGAGAATGTAGCTGAGAGATTTCATAGTGATGCAGTACCGTTGTTAGAATAAAGTGTAATATAAGTGAAAAATGATTTTTGCAAAGGAATAACAGCCATTTTAAGACAATCTTCATTAATGATTCAGTCGCCTAAGCGTCTATATTTCTCTGCATTTTCTGTATCCTCTAATGAACTAATCTTGGAAGAAAACAGTCATGTTTTGGCTTATGAGGGTGAAGGGTGTAGAGTCTTGTGCGACAACTTCTTTGCTTGCCGACAAAAGTACTTTTTATGCCGAGTTCAAGTGCTTTCTCCCGTATTCCCTTCACAGCTGATCTTCTTGTGAAACATCTAATCGGGAAACACTTCTAAAACGACAGTTTCTTCATTTCGAGAGACTTCAATGTTAAAAGTCACTTCCAAAGTGAAAAGTCATTTCCAAGTGTAGATTTGAGATGAAAACTTGCAAAACATGATGAAATGTACTAAAAGCTGGAAAAGAAGTGTAAAATTGCTTGGCATTCTTATTAGGAAAAATGTGCCCAATGAGAACGGAGCTAATCATTCCTTTGTTTTAACTACATACATATATGCTTATTGACTCCATAAAGCTTAATTATCGATTAATGTTTAATGGTGGTTTGCGTTTAAATTCTTTTCGTCTTGATCAAAATAAATAAAAAAATGCTACTATTTATTGTAAATGTTGATAATGAATAGATTAAACTTTAAATATTGACTTTTTTTTACAAAACTTTCGTATTTCGGAGAGAGGAGCCTTAAATTTTATTGAGGCTGTGCACTCCACATCTAATAGTCATGATACCAGTTGTTCTGTTGACCGAGTCAATCTTTCTTTACTGTAATAAAATTAAATCGAGATAGCCTTGAATTTCTCTTCAAGACTCGATAAAATACTTGAATACAGTATTTACGCTCCCTCTATGACAATAAATCGTTATTACCAATAATGACAACTCAATAAGCGGTAAACATTATGCGAAAGATTGAAAAATCGACTTTTTTAGCGTTTGAACTTTCAAAGTGAAGTGCATAGGTCGATTAAGAAATTATTTTACGGTAAAGAAAAGCTCCGCAACTTAAAAGGCCCGTTCTTATTAGGCACATTTACTCTATAGAAGACTGGTCTTTAGCTTTGAACATCGTGCAAAAGCTCAACTTTTACAGGAAGAATGAGTTTCAACGTTTTTTATACTTGAATGTTTAATTGAGAATTCCAATCCGTCATCCATTGATTATTCTTCACAATATTGATCTTGTAAAAAGAAGAGAATCGATGTCGACAAGAATCTAGAACGTAAGGCGCGGCTAATTCAAAAGAGGAGCATGTTTTTATTTTTGCCTTAAAAGTCCATCACTCGATGCAGAATTTCGTGCTGATTACGAATATCACCTTTTTAGTTCGATTTGATCACTTTTTTGGAGAGAAAAATGCAAAAAACTGAGATCGGGTGGAAAACCTCAAAAATCGTATTTTTTGAGAAAAACCTGTCTAGTCTTTTCCACTCAGCTCAAAACTTTTTTATACTTCTTTTTTCGGATTTCCCGTCACAAACTGCCCCTAAGAACGTGTCTTTAAAGGACTTCTGCCGTAAAACGAAATTTTGGCAGCCCCCCTAACAGGTGTAGGTCTCATGTCCAGTCCTCAAGGTTGCGGCTCTAATTCCTAAGCCGGATAAACATCTAGACACTTCATTTTTGCGCCAAAAATTCGGCTTAAAACGTAGAACAAAGTTACGAAGAGTTTTTTTCGATTTTTTTTTCAGCGAGGTTAAAAAAATTAAACATTAAAAAAGAGGCATTTTGGATCAAAATCGGCCAAGTTGAGACGAATAACTCGTCCGTATTTCGCTCAAACAAGCTGAAAATATACATTTCTAGATAAAAATTGATGCTGAATCCGGTGAAAACGGTTTCAAAATCTTGTGGGTTTTTAAAAGTGGTTTTCCAGAAACCATCCAGATCGATAGAGAATCGAATTCTGAGTAAACCAACACCAACCCGAAGTTTCTAGCACTTTTCTAGGCTGAGAAATGAGGATATTTCCAAAAACCCCATCCGTTGCGAGGCACTCTCTTAATAATTTCGCGATATAAAAAAAGAAAGAGAGTTTTTCTGATTATCGTAGTCGGCTAGATAGTAACACTGCGCAAGCATGTACAGATCTTGATACGGCAGAAATGTTCTCGGAATTCTTTCATAGTTGTTATAAAAAATCTTCTTCTCCGTCTACTAGCAACACTAATATGCAGAAAAGTAACCAACGTTTTTTAAATACATTTTTATTTACTGTAGCGAACGTAAACGATATGATCAAGTTCAAAGCGGGTTTTCCCCAGAAGAACTTCGTGTTTTATCGCGAAGGAATCGGTGTTACTGCACCAGAACTTCATGTTTTCTTGTGAAGAAATCCGTGTCGGAAGCACATCATCTTTTTTTCTGATGAAATCGGACTATCCCCAGACGAATTTCAGGCTTTTTGGTTTTTTCGTGACGAAATCGGTGTTGCTGCATTACTTCATGTACTTTCCGGATGGAATCGGTCTTTCTGCACAAGAACTTCATGTTTTTCCCTGAAGAAATGGCGCTTTCCCCAGAAGACCTTCAGGCTTCTTGGTTTTTCGGTGGCGAAACCGGTGTTGCTGCACAACAACATCAAGTTCAGTCGTGAAGAAATCAGTGTTTCTACAGAAGAACTTCCTGTTTTCTCCTAAAGAAATCCGTTTTTCTGCACAAGAAGTTCATGCTTTCTCGTGAAGAAAACGGTGTTTCTCGAATCCTGTCGGTCAACCAGAAGCATGATTGGGAAAACTAGCGAACGTGTTTTACTGAGAATTTTTTCATAAATTTCCGTAAAATGAATCTTGAACCTCTGTGAAAGAAGATATTTTTGTTTATTTTCATATTTTTCAGCCTTTTTTTTGAGCATTAATTGAATATATCTCACCCTAAAACTGTAAGAGATGGGCAGATGAAGAAAAGATGCTTTTCTTTGGCAGTCTGGACTAAAACTAAGATCAAATTATTGAACTTCCATCCAGGAAAAATAATTGACGTTTTCCAACATTTTGTACCCTTACGACCGGATGTTGCCAAAAGGCAACATGTTGGCATATGGCTCAGTGTCAGTTCTTTAAACTCCAAGATAAAATTCGGTAACGTCCATACCTAGAAGACAAATAATATATAGAAATAGAATTTTTTGCTTGCTATCTTCGGGTAGCCGGCCGGAAAGGATTGAGAAAATCTCAATCAACGTTCCCTAGTATCTGAACACTCTTGCGAATTATTATTAAACTTCCAAAGTTGCCTGATGAGTCCCTTAAGCAAGGATGAAAAGCGTCGCAACAACTGCTTGGAGTTGTCTCGGAACTCATCACGAAATGTGAAAGCGTTTGCCATTTTGTAGTAGGATTTTTCTTTCATTTGGTTTGTATTGCTTTCGAGAACGAAAAGAAAAGAAAAGAATGAAAAAAGAATGTAACTTAAAAACAAGCAAGATTCATCAAGCAAAAAAACATTCTCCATCATTGTTTACCACTATCCATCCACAAGTGCAAGAAACCAACGAAACGGTAAAGTTTATTAATAAAAAGAAGACATTTTTTCTGCACAAAAAGAACTACGAAAATACGTTTGGTGTTTTTTGAGTTTATCAAAACACAGTCCTCTACAAGCATTGACCATTAGAAACATCCATTTTCGAAATATTAACTAAAGAAATAAAATATCGTAAGGACGTAGGAAGCAAATCACACTTTTCGCGTTTTTCCGTTAATAGAAAAAAGTTCAGAATGAATTATCAGTGGAATTTACCGCCAATAGGTGCTCCAGATTTTGACAATGCACTACTCTCACAAAAAAATTTCCCAATGATTAGCTTATCAGTAGATGAAAATTCGGACGACACCGAGATATTCCAAGTTGAAGTAGGTTTTCGCGACGAAGACGAATGTCGTTCCGTTCTGGAACCGCTTGCAAATCGAAATCGGTGCAGTTTCACACAGCAATTTGGTTTCCAAGAAGTGAGGCTTACAGTGCCACGATCGTTTGCTGATGAAAATCACCAACAGCGTGCTTCAGCAGCACAAAAGTCTATCACAACTGATGGCAAAAGTTTACGCCTTGAGATTAATAATGGCGAAATTAAAATACTTGTAGAAGCCATCGAACATCAAGTGGTAAGAGAAAAGTTTTTGTTTGAGAGTAGAAAGTGACTCCAAAGTTCATAAACGACCAATGCTCTTAGTAAACATACTTCGAGCATAGAATAATTTCGCATCTCCAGGGCAGACGGGATAACACACTAACACTACTTCCAAATACAACACACTGAGTTATTTTTTCAAATAATCTTTTCACGAAAACACCCATCTGTCTGTGTTGATTGATTTTTTGGGAGAAGTTTTTGCCATTGAATCATGTGTTTTTACATCTTCTGAAACGCAAAACAAGGAGTTAATCTACTTTTCAAGAAAGCGTTCTTTATATTTTCCCTTAATGTAGTAGGAAATTCAGATTGTATACCTCGTCGCCGAAAACTAGATCACCGAAAGCTCAGATCACCGAAACGAACATCATCGAAAGACAAGATCGCCGAAATGAATATCGGCGAAATAGAGATCATCGACATAAAGATCACCGAAATAGAGATCGCCGAATTTTCTTATATGATCTGTATCACTCTATCTTCATTTCGATGATCTTCCTTTTCCGCGATCATATTCTTGGTTCTATCTTTTTATATGAACAAACATGGAGGCTGTTCAGCTGTTCCGTATACATCATCGACTGTGACCTATTACTGCACATACCAGCTAACAGAATTAGTTTCCATTCTACGAAAGGTAGTGCCAAAGTTGAATTAGGAAGATTGTTCCTAATTTGAGTTAGATAGTCAATTACATGTCGTCGATTCACTGAGTTAAGTTAGAAAGTATCTTCCTAATGTAGTGAATAGATCAGATATTATTCGCCATATAACTCAAGTTAGGAATTACCTTCCAAAATCAACTTACATTGATTGATCACGGCGTTCTGATCTTTACGTACACAGAGAATCACTTGACGTAATATTAGAACATTACTGAGACTGAAAGTATATCGCTCGAGGAAATCTGTGATGGTTGCTTTTATGTGGGTGCTGTTGCACGAAAATGGTATAGTTTCATATAATATATTTGCTATACATAAGTGTAGTCTTGAGGTTGCGTTAACTCGATGGTGGCATTGTTTTCGGGCTGAATTTACTGGAAAATTAGCATATGATTGCAGAAAAGCAGAGTGTCAGACCATGGTGGCAACAAAAAATGCCTTTCAGAAAAATTCTTGTCCGATATTTCATACGAACCGAAAACTAACACCAGCAGACTAGGCAACCTTCGAATATGATCATTTCTCAAATCCGTAACCTCAGCAAACTTTCAAACGTCCCTAGTTCACCCAGACAACTAAGCTAATGCGGTGGTTCGTACATCATTTGCAAGTACAATGATGTGCCTAGAGGATTAGCGAACAGAGAGCACTCTAAGGTTTCCCTAAGTTTGCCGAATTTCCTGGTGAAAAAGAAATCCGCTTGAGTTCCATTTTCAAAAGTTTCTGCTTTTTAACATCGATCTTCTCTTCGTCCAATCCTCGTCGCAAAGATGAATATCGGATTGCTCTACAAAAATAGACGTTTTTTGTTTTAAAAAAGGCAATAAAACGAGTCAAAATGCGTTTAAAAAAGAGACAGAGTTCAGTTTTAACACCGAACACGTTTTAGCTGTCTTTTACACGCGACAAGAGGAATCTTTTTTACGCGTGACTTTTCAAGGAATATCCAAAAAAACCGGCGAAAGTGCTATTTCTCATTATCTGGTATTTTATTTCAAGGCTGATGTAATTGCAATCTGTTCAGAGAGTGGAGAACTCCGAAATATTGTCTTAGCGGCTGCCGGAACAACCGTTTGCGAAGAATATCATAGAGAGTCCAGCCGGGATGAGAGACACTGGCTAGAAACTTCACCTGGATTACTAAAATGTCAAAAACTCGTCTATTACAAACAGGAAATGGATCCATTAAACTTAGTGCTTACGATTTTTGTTAAAACATGGGTGGCATACGCGTATGATAATAATTATCAGAGTATTGGTGAGTGATTTTATTGAATATCGCAGGAATGATGTTACCTGCGGAGAATGGGAAAAGAAACACCTGAGTCTCTTATTACATGTTCAGCCTTTGGTGTTGAAAACCCAGCATTCGCAGCGCCGATGATTGCACTTGTCAAACAATCGTTAGAAAGACATCGAAAACCAATGTCTGTGTTATTCGCTATATCGGAAAGAGATCGACCAGTTTATGATGCATTTGTGAGCTGTTTGGCTACAATTCCAGCAAACAAAATGACAGATAATTCCATACCAAGGCTACAGATAAGTTTAGCAACGACAATACAATTCACCTCATAAATCCACTCATTTTCTATACTAATAAGGTTCTGCCAATCAAAACCATCATTATGGGAAAAACTGAGTGGCTATCAATTGAATTAAAAACGTAATCCAACCGAAAGTTAGCTTTAGTTCTAAACGCATTTTCCAGCGCTCTTCGTTTTTGCAGAGTGTGTCTTGCAACAAAAACCATATTTTAATCGGATTTTTTACTACGACGGATGCTCTACAAATGCAAAAAAAGGCTGAGAAAATCATAGTGCATTTGAGTGAAAGGACGAGGGGCTTTAAGGCCACTTTTCGGCCCAAAATATTTTCGAGAAATAACAATATGGGCATAATATAGTCGATATGGGCTACAAATATGGCGTAGTCACTTTGCATGAAATGACTTTGAGATTTTTGGCCCCACTAGCCGCCCCCCTCAGGGTTGCGAGAAAAACCAATTTCAACATTTTAGGTTTAAAAGTGGCTAGGAATATCAAGTCGGCCATGCTGATCACGAATATGAGTGTTGCAGTTCTTAGAAATCTGGTTCTGACGTTACCTGGTTTTTATCCATATCTGAATTTTGAACTCTGAACCGGGTTTTCGACCCTCATCCCCCATAATCTAAGCATTAGAAGGTCCGGAAAAGCATCTTTCATAGGTAACTTTCTAAGCTCTATCAGAATCCTGGCGAATAAAAATTATCGGAAACACTCAACACTTCGTAACGCCCAAATACGAGCAGGATGTGGGTAGGCTAAGCATAGGCGTCACTCTTTCCAGTGCTGCCATTGCACTGAACACTTTTGAACTTAATTGGCACTGTAACAGTTAGATGCCGTTTTTCAAGCTCTATCCGAATATGTCATTGGATTTGTAAATTAACGTCGGCATCAGGTCGAAAACTCCGAAATATGGGCAGAAATACTGTAATTTCTCATTCACTGTAAATAGTTTCGCTTGATTATCAGTAGTACGGTCAAAGATCTCAAAGTCATTTCATGCAAAGTGACTACGCCATATTTGTAGCCCATATCGACTTTGTTATGCCCATATTGTTATTTCTCGAAAATATTTTGGGCCGAAAAGTGGTCTTGAAGCCCCTCGTCCTTTAGTGCTATTATCATACTTATTCTTTCTTTTTTACGATCTCTTCTCATGTCTACTACCAGTCACACCGCGCGATACAACAAAATTTTTCCAAAAAGGTAAGCTAATATATGACAGACGTTTCTGCAGGAAAACTATGCTACGATCACGTAGCTTAGTAGTAAACGACTCCTATTGTCAAATCACTATAGAGCTGAAACTAGTGGACAAAACAATAGTTTTTGTTGCTGGATGCGTCAAGACTAGTTACCTAAAAAATAAGTCTCAGTTAATGAGATCATTTTCTAGTTGGATGAAATCATTTTCTTCTTCTGCTAGATAAAAGGCTTATCAGAAAATCTTTAAGAAGCTACTTTCTCCGACTTTGAGAGAAGTTTGTGTATATCCGTAGTCAAACAAGCTGTATATAAAAGTGAATGACGGTTTTCTAAGTTTTTCAGCTACGGGTACCGCAAGAAACACCTTTCAGCTTTGAAAGGTAGCTCAATAGGTTTGTTGGTGAGCTCTTCGCTTCAGAGGCTTTAAAACAGATTGTTCTCCAAGAGTCTCTGCTAACTGCCGCTGCATTCCGAACAGCTCGTTCGTCAGTTACCTAACAGAAAAACCATGGTCATATTTGGGACTAGCAGACTCCATTCCTTCTTGTTCACTAAGTGTTAGGTCAAAGGTGATCGATCAGTTGATTTCTTTTTATACTTAGGTCAATTTACCTTGCAAAGAAATTATCCTTCTAATTTCTGAATTTTAGTTGCTAAAATCACATTGAAGAGTTCATCCTCAAATCAACGTGATCTAAAAAAATGTCGTTCAGAAATGGAGAGAGTATGTGAAAATAGTTTAATAAAATCTGTGATCACAAATATATTCGATTTACGTGAATGGACACAATCAACAATTCAAGAATACTTTACATTTTGTGTATGGAAAAAACAAGTGCTCCCTAAAGTTGATATTGAAAATGGCATTGTTGAGTTGAAAGGATCTGCGGTTGATGTGAGTAGTAACTGCGTCGATGAAAGTTCTCAAATTCTGTTGTAGCAAGGCGTTACTCCTTATTTTAGGTAGAGGATTGTAAAGCTTACTGTCAGGAACTGAACAGTAACGTTTTAAATCAAGTAAGAAAGATCGCGCGCGCCCAGGATGTCATATGGTCATATTCCCATCCTGAGACAAATCAGTGGGCGCAATATCCAATTCAAGTCAATGCGGAAATTGAAGATGCATTTCAAAGAAGATTACCGGTAGAGAACGAAAAGCATCAAATAAGTCTATTAAGCTTCTACGTTTTTCTTCGTGACTCTTCTCATTCTCAGAATCAGTTTTGGGTCTTTTACCCAGCGTCATTTCCGCTAGAAGACTCAACAAATAAAAGTCTTCGACAGATGGACTAAGTCTGATTTTGTAATATATCACCAGAAATAGTGTTGCGAAATTTTTATGAGTTTATCTAGCAACTTTCAGAGGACGACGGTGGCTTAGCCATTGCCGAGTACCAAGATAAAACTAATAAAAATCACATACGCATAATAGCATCAACTTTTAACGCAGAAAATATGTCCTTTCTTGACCTGACAGAAATTAGTTTTCCTTTGTAATGGAGGAGACTGATCATCAAAGTTTTCGAAAAGACCGAACGTGCGTCTTTGGAGACAATGAGATAGTGATGATACTCAAAGTTTAACGTTGATTTTGACTATGTAACTGTTATGAGATTTATTTTGATACTCGACAGTAACTGACTTGCTCTCGTCGTTTGTAACACACATCATCAAAATGGCTCTCAAATTTGAAACTTCTAGATCTCGAAAGCTTTTTTGATTAATCCAAAGTTTTTGGTATCTATATTTAAAAAAATCCTTTGCAACTTTACCAAATAATCTTTCAATCACTTCTGAACTATCCTGGCGATAAACCACGTGTGTTGTACAATGTGAGCGTATGGTTTAGTTATTATTAAATTTTAGCCTTTCTGAAAGAGTGAATAAGTGTACAATGACTTATCACAGAACCTTTTTCTTGTAGCGAATCTGCCATGGACTCATTAACATAAACTTTGAAAAGATGATAGAAATTAAAAGTAATCGTTCGATTCCAGTGCGACGGAGACAAATGAACCCCGCTTTACCTAATGTAAGTACATCACCATAACGATATGCTTGTGTTTCGAATGAAATAGTTTATGCCTGTCTATAGACCTGGGACATGGAAAATGACAATGATCGTAAACGAATTCCATTGAAGTTCACCTCAAAAGAATATGTTCAAGTCTTGAAACAATTTGATGACGCAAATATGAAGGGAAAATACACGGAAATAAGAAGAATTGAACGGATACAGAATGAACGATGGTTTTTACAATACTCAGCGTAAGTGGAAAATTTGTTGAATCTATGCACTCTTTCACTATATTGCATGTTCTCGTCGTTTTACAGCCATCGTGGTGAATTCAAACAGCGTTTCAATGATAGTTCCTACGAAAAGTCTCTATTTCATGGTTGTACAGACGTAACTGTTAATTCAATTATTAATCAAAATTTTAATCGTGCATATGCCGGTGTAAACGGTAGATTACAAGTTTGTTTTTTCCAATTTTGCGCAAAGCTAGTTCGTAGATCATAAAATTCTCTAGAAGATCAGAGACCACTCTACTTGTTGCGTTCCAAAACCGTTTATTTATGAAGTGTCGTAAAGAGTAAAGAGTGTAACTTGAACGAGGTTACACCTAAACATGAGTGATCGACTGGTAACAATTTGAGCTCTAGGACTTTTTTGGACTAAATAAAAGCAGAGGAAAAGGAACGAAAGCCACCTTTAACGCTGGGTGGTGGCAGGTATTGTTTTGCATCAGAAACAGAAAAACGAACAAATTCATCCTCTATTTTTTATAGGAATTGTGTATGGTAAGGGCTGTTATTTTGCGGTATCAGCTGGATACAGTCACAGCTATGCAACTCCAAACTCTTTGGGTGAACGACATATGTTTTTAGCAAAAGTTTTAACTGGAAAATCAGCTATTGGAAACTCATCAATGAACGTACCACCGGCTGGCTATGATTCAACGACTGACGGCAACAATATATTTGTTACTTATCATGACGCCCAAGCATACGCAGAGTATTTAATTGTGTATAAATAGATATTCGCACAAAATCATTTTAGCAGAGAACAGTACTTAATGCGACTTCTTTCATGGGCTTCATTCTCGAGTCTGTACGAACGTAAATAAAGCTTTTTGTGTGTTTTTCTGAAACAAACAACGTTCATCGAGAGTCGATTCACTTGTCCCTAGACTGACGGGATAGCGTTGCGAATATAACTATCAACAGATGTGAATGGGATTCACTACATATGACTATTTATAATGTAGTATGATTATTGCGATTATCTGACAACTTTGTTTCCAATAATCGTCGTGCAGATTATAAACATATTAGCTAATCATTATAACTCAAGTTCATCATTGTGCTTAAATCGTAAATGGTGATCATTTTCACCTTATTTAGTGTGATTAGATTTATACTCGATGCTCTTAAAAGAGCGCGCGAGTTGCCGATAAATTGAAATTTGACAGGTCATTCCGAATATTCGTTTGCTCATATATGTCAAACCCGAAACCTGAGTTCAGATATCCAGATATTCGTATATTCGGATATTCATTCAGATATTCAGATATTCAAACAAACGTTGACGTTGATTGTGAGTCAAAATCAACGTTAAACTTTGAGTATCATCACTATCTCATTGTCTCCAAAGACGCACGTTCGGTCTTTTCGAAAACTTTAATGATCAGTCTCCTCCATTACAAAGGAAAACTAATTTACAAGGATGAGGGGCTTCAAGACCACTTTTCGGCCCAAAATATTTTCGAGAAATAACAATATGGGCATAATATAGTCGATATGGGCTACAAATATGGCGTAGTCACTTTGCATGAAATGACTTTGAGATTTTTGGCCCCACTAGCCGCCCCCCCTCAGGGTTACGGGAAAAACCAATTTCAACATTTTAGGTTTAAAAGTAGCTAGGAATATCAAGTTGGCCATGCTGATCACAAGTATGAGTGTTGCAGTTCTTAGAAATCTGGTTCTGACGTAGTAAAACGGCGTTTACCCAGTTTTTATCCATATCTGAATTTTGAACTCTGAACCGGGTTTTCGACCCTCGTCTCCCATACATAAAAAATGGCAGCCAATTCGCGCCGTCGTTCCAGCGATGCTATGTGATGTTGTTCTGGCTTTGTTCGAAAATCAAAAAAAAAAAAAACTTTATCAGCCATAAATTCTGTTTGATGAAATGAAATCGTTTTTCTATAATGCATATTGAATGATTAATAGAGTTATTGAAAATAATTATCATCTGTTCCATTAAGAAGAATTAAATTTTGAATATTTGTCTCAGTATGTGTAAATTCATCATCATCTGAACAATCGTAATCTTGCTCGATATAATGACTCATTAAACCACCATAGAATAAGTATTACTGATTGGGATAGTCCAGACTTAATTTTTCTATAGCGCATTTTAATAAAGTGGCAATAACGCGATCTTTGTTTCTCAATAAATGCGATGACATATTAGCATAAATTTAATTCTTCTTAATGGAACAGATGATAATTATTTTCAATAACTCTGTTAATCATTCCATATGCATTATAAACGAACGATTTCAAACCACCAACATCAATTGAAAATGAGATATATGTAGTACAACAATTAAAATCATATTCACGATCTGAACGATTTACACCGAAGACATTATTTATCACTTTCGACATCATCGATTTATATACTATGCTAAATAAAAACCGTGCAATATTTTATTTGAGATGATTCTTACAAGGAGACTTGCAATTAACAGCATTAGACGGAATACCAATAGACGTTATTATTAAAATGTGTAATCTTGTTTTGAAAAATAACTACTTTTACTGTGACAATAATTACTACCATCAAATTAAAGGAGGCGCCATGGGATCATCATTAACATTATCATTAGCAAATATTTACATGAAATATTGGGAAAAAGATTTAGTCGAATATCAACAGTCACAAAATGAGTTATATTTTCGTTTTATCGATGATTCATTTTTAACATCTAATGATACAGAAGAAGATTTTAAAAAAA